ATATATATATATAAACATATACACCTATACATCAAATCCCATCCCTAAATAAACAGACTCCTTCCTTTAGATACTGGAATCGTTCTCTGAATCTCCGAAAGCTGACAGAGGTGAGCTACCCAGGTCTGAGACAGACCATGAACCTGAAGAGAGCAGTCAAATTCAACCGCCTGCCTGAGGTTAGTTTGTGCTGCCACCTAGAGGCAAAATCATGTTAGTGCCATTACAATCTGACATTGGTCTGATATCACAGAACTATCAACTGAATGCCCAGATGACAGACTATTTAAAGATACTGTTTTTAATCATCAGGAATTTATTTTTCCTTCTCACGGCACTTACTGAAAGTGTTATTTTTTTTCCTGTCCTGCTACATTTCTCCAAGATGACCAAGACACCAGGTCTACGCCCTATGACTAAAGAAGATGTTGCCGGGTTACACTCTCTACTCCAGGCATATTTCCGCAAGTTTCACCTTAGTCCCATCTTATCTTTGCTGGAAGTAGAGCACTGGCTGTTGCCGAGGGACAACGTGATTGACACTTACGTTGTGGAGGTCAATTGCAGCCTCTTTATTTTTAATTTCCTCACCCTTTTTCTGAAACATTTAAATTCATATGATGCTGAAGTGGTTAAGAATTGATTCACCTCAGCTCCTCACACACAGGGTGATGACGGGACACTGACAGACATGGTGAGTTTCTATGGCGTCTCCTTCAGGGTGCTGAATCACCCGGTCCACACCGGCCTGAGAGCAGCTCATCTGCTCTACTTTGCCTCAACTGTCACAGACCCAGTGGAGCTCATGGAGGACACGTTGGTCCTGGCTAAATCTGTGAGTGTGTCAGGATAAATGAATTAAAAAGGTGCACAAGGAGACCAACTTTAAATGTCTATAGGACTACATTTGAACATGTTTTACAATGTGTATAGATTTCGTTTATTGTGCATTATGACAAAAATAAATGCTTCTTCTTCTCACTAACAGAAAGGTTTTGACATCTTCTCTGCTCTCGACGTGATGGATAACAAGAGTTTCCTGGAGAAGCTCAAGTTCAGCATCAATGACACAAGCCTTCATTACTACCTGTACAACTGGATGTGTCCTAATGTGAGCCCAGACAAGGTACTGAAGACTGTAATATCTCCACCTGTCAAGACACTTCACTGTTCAGTCCTCCGCACCATTTCTCTCTGCTGTGCTTTTTGACAATTTTTTCCATGAATTCTTACTTCTAAAGTCTCCTTATGTAATATTGATATTTTTCAGGAAAGACATAAGCTATTACAGTATATTGCACATTGGAAAACGCACATATTCAGTGGTGGAATGTGACAAAGTACATTTACTGTACCTATGTACAAATTTTCTTCTCATGCAACCCATTTCAGAGGGAAATATTCTACTTCTTACTTTACTACTAAAACATAGAAAGAGCTTTGACAATATGATGTTTTTTCATTAATTAAACTAACCAACAGTTTATACAAGAACAAGTACATGATTTTATTTTAATAATGTAAATGTATTTTTAATGATTTTGAGGTTTGGATGGTTGGTTGAATTAATGAGAATTGTGCAATTGTGATGACATTTCTCACTATTTTCAGAATTTTTACAAACCACAAAATTAATATTAATGGAGAAAATAAACAGCAGTATAATCTATGATGAAAATAATCATTAGTTGCAGTTCTTTACAAATAGTATAAAAAGGCTCCCCCTAAGCCAACTACAACAGTACAATCATGCTTTTACATCAATGCATGAGTAATAATAATCTAATATATATATAATAGTACAGCAGTCAAAAATGAAATTTTTCTGATTATACTTACATGCTTTTACTTAAGTAACATTTTTAATGCAGGTATTACTACCTAGGTAAAGGATCGGAATACTTCCTCCATCACTGAACATGTTGAAAGCTGCCAGTCATCAGTAATTCAAAGTAATGAATCAATGTTTTACAGGTGGGCTTGGTGTTACCCAACTGATACGCCACTGAAAGAAGACAGAGTGGTGACGATGAAAGGACCGGAGCCATTGGCAGGACATCAAACTACATCAAAAGCATGAATTTGGGTTGAAAATATAAACAGACAAACTGTAAAACACACACACTCACACACACACACATTCACAAATCAGACATAAAATATAGAGTAAAAAAAACTTGAAAATATTCCACATGTAACTCCATAAGCTGGCATAGCTCCCTGTTACTGAATGAGAGATCTGATAAGCAATGGATGGCTCCCCAGACTCAGGGGCTATATTAGATTAGTCTGATCCAGCTGCTATCACTCTCTGGGGAATGGCCAAGCACTCACTTACACTCAGTAGCACTAAGCACATTATACTGCATTACAGGTTGGAAACACACTGTGCGCAAATTTACAAACATCAAGGCTTAATCAACAAACTGTTTACAAGGGCGCAGTTTGGAGCGAGATTGAACAACATAAAATCTGACATTGTGAGTGCACAAGTTAGTAGGGAATGGGTAATACTGCATCGCTACAGTACTGTCGCTGCACAGCAAAGATCAATGTGATGCTTGTTGCTACTAGTTCTTTGTCTCATTTGGATATGGGTGTTTCATCATATCCTTCTGTAGGCTTTATGGTTTCATCATATTCCTCCATAGGATTTCAATTAGCTGCCTTCCTCTTGCAGTTTTCCCTTCCTCCCATTGATACGTCCATCACGTCAGATCTCATTCTCTGGGTACAGAGAGCACTGCAAAGATAGATAAAGAGGAAGAGCACTTCTATGCTTTTAGAACATTATATAAGTCTGCTGAGCTCTGTCAGTTCTACTCCAGATGGAAGATTCTGGTGGAGAAGTACCCAGAGAAGAGGCTGGCAGAGTTGGAGATCTGAACTGTGCTGCCGTTTTTCTTGTGCCAGCTGAGCTCTATCTAAGCTAGATAAAGTAATTAAAATGGGTGTCGAGGATGTCATCCTTTATTTGACCCTGTGCCGTCCTGCTCGGCTCCTCTGAACAGGGATCGACTCCGGAGTCAAACCACTGCAGTCCCCTGGCTCGCTCTGTTCAGGGAGCATGGATGACAAATCCTTCAGTGGCATGGCTCGTTCTCTCTCTCTCTCTCTCTCTCTCTCTCACAGACACACCACATACACATTTACAAACACATGCACACAAAGTTATTATGTGACACCCGCCTTGAGGCACGTGTGACACATGCTAATGAGACAGGCCCTGCCAGTAGCCGACAGCACAGCGTTATCCTCCACAGCAGCGCATCACTACAGAAACCAAAGTCATTTTCACCTCCATCACCTGTCATCGTTACATTGATGGAGAGAAGGAGTGGCAATCATCTTTTCTCCTACACAGTCAGGAGGACTCAAAAACCTTTCTCCACATGTGTCTCTTTCTCTCTGTTAAAAAAAGCCTCACATACACACATTTCAATATTGTATCTGGCACCTGACACATGCAATGAACAAAAACTCATCTGCAAGGTCACAGAGTTCCTTTTAATCCAGAGGAGCAGTGTGATCCGTCAGAAAGCTCACAAGGCTGTATGGTGCAGGTTTGTCACAGTGATATAAGCTCCGTATCTTTCAGGTCAATGTCTCAACTATAAAAATCTCCAGGCAATTAACAGGTAATGTATGGTGTGCAGCGTCTTTATTTGTTCCAGCATATAATGTCTGTGTGTGTGTGCACATGTGTGGGCATCTGTAAGACACCCACTCGCTTTTTTCCACTGACTAAACCCTTTCCAGTTAGAAATCACTCATGCCACAAGTTATTGCAGTTAAATGCTATTATAAAATAGGTGCTTCCAGCCAAGTGATCTGATTGGTCAAATAAGCATTCCAATTGTACTTTATGAGCCTGTAAAGTTTCAGCCATGCTTTATGACCCTTGGGCTTTATGAATTTATGAAAAAAATGAAATGGCTGCTCAGCTAACTAGAAGTATCCAGCCATTAGCTATCCACTTTTTTTTTGTTTATCATCTATTTTGTTAAAAGTTCCAGGTATCTACATGAAACTTTTTTCCCCATACTTTGTTGGCCATTGTATAAAAGATATAATATTCAAGAGGACGTGTGATGACAGCTGAAGTATAGCAATTATGCATAATTAATAGCCCTGCAGGAAGCACCACTCTCTGCCTGGGTACAGGCTGAGTAGAATTAAAGAAGATGGGGCTGAAGTGGAGGTGGCGAAATGGCAGAAATCATTAAGCCGGAGCTTTCGTGGGTCACATATAAATGTCAATAACAGTGGAGGAGAAAAAAAGGTTTTCTCTGCTGCTGTCTTCTATCTGTACAAAATGGGGAAAATATGTTTTAAAATTCAATTTGAATCCACATAATGATGTCTATTTTGATATCAGCAGATGTTCTCTCACATTTTATTCTTTTTTTTTAACATCCATATGTGACCCATTTTTAGGTTATAGTCAAAATCACTGAGGAATCGTTGTATAGTGTATATGTACGTATGAGCATATATGACAGGATATATAACAGCATTTGTGCCAACACTTTTCTGTCCTACTCAGCAGCAGCACCGAGTTAAAATGTAACTGAATGCTGTGTGTGTGTGTGTGTGCGTGTGCGTGTGCATGTGTGATGGTCTATAAATGAAAGACAGGACAAGATAATGTCTTCTGACTGATACAGGTCAGTTATCAGCTGACCAAACACGTACAGCTTTGATTGTTCTGCCACAGCTTACTTCGTTCTTCTTTTTAACCTTTATCAAGATGATGATTACAGTGATTATCTATGACAGTGTTTTCTGTCTCATGTTGTCAGATACCTCATTACTCTTGCAACCATGTTTAAACACCAACAAATGTTTTACATATAGTATGTATCCTTGTTTCTGTGAAAACAGACATATTTTTGCACATCAGCGTCATCTTAACGTATTGCTTTGCTTTCATATTTTTTATGTTCTCGTATTTTCCTTCTTGTCATATACACTGTATTGATTTTATTTTATTTTATTTATTTATTTTTACGACAGTCTTTTCCTTATTTATATTCTGTGTTTCTTTGTTGTATCCAGTTACTATTTGCTGCGGAAAAGCTCAATTTCCCGACAGAGATCATCTCATTTCTCCCTCATCTACCCATAAAGCCGCACTCTGGGCTTCAGCATACTGTGTCTGTTATTAGAATTTATTGTACAGTAGCTCAATGGTTTTGATTTTCTGCCTCCAAAACAATGCAGTGTATGTTTGCAACCCTCGTTAGAGGTGTAAATGGGCATTGAAATGAACTCTGACATCAATCCATTAATATTATTTTCCTCTTTCAAGCTCAATCACTTGATTAATTATTTGAAAAACCTAACTGGACCAAAAAGGCTGCTTTTCTGAGCCCATCTGTTGTGTCTGTATTTGTTTTGATTATTGAAGAGGAACAGGAAAGTTAACTCTTTGTAAACGCTGCTGTTTTCTGTTTAGCACAAAATATGTGACTCAAAATAGGTCTGGTATATTCCAGGCTTTACAGACAGCACACGAGTCAACAAATGTTTGACAGCTCTGAAATAAAATCTGTGTTTAGCTGTCGCATGCTGTCAGTCATTGTATAAAGAACTCTGTCAATATGACGATGAAAGATGTCTCCAGTACAATGTTTTGGTACTATGGAGTTGTTTAATGATTGGCTTACAACTTGGGCTTTTAAGTGGTTGAAGATATGCATATTTAGCTTATACGCATTGAGAAAGCTTGGTGCAATACGCAATACTCCTGCTCATTTACTGAATAACTTAGAAGCTAAATAATGAATGGCCAGTTAAAGATCAGCAGGACAAAAATCCAAAATGAGGTCTGTTTCATGGAGTGCTTCTCATTACATCTGTTCATCACATATTGCTAGCTTTGTAATTGCCATATTACCTGTCTCTGCTACATATAAATTACAGCCCCCCCCCCCCCCCC